GTGTTTTTTGAGTTGGATAATTATATATCTGAATTTTCAGGAACACTCTCTATTTTAAATATCCTGCCCTTTATAGAAAAAAAATCCATACTTTTATATAATTTGAAAACTATGCTTCCTTTAGACAGTAATATAATTCATTTATTTATTCAAGGAACATTTACTGAGCAGCTAATACATGTAAGGATCTAGCTTAGTCCTGAGAAGATATAAACCATATATACAGGGCACACAGGTCCTGACTCCACAGTATTATAGGGAAGTTCTCTCATGCTTAAAATAACTATAACACAATGTAGAAAATACAAAGCTCCCCAAGGGAAAAAAAAATGCTTACTGATTCCAGGTAAAGACAGTATACTGTTTTAAGGATGATAACAAGCCATTTTGAAGACTCCATATAAAGCTCTCCATGGACAGGGTCTAAGGCAGGTAGATGTCCTTAGACCCACTGCAGTGCTATCTAGGCAACAATGTGTCAAGCTAATATAGTATGGATATTTTCAAACTTTTTCTTTACTGTTACATTCTGATTATCAATTTATTGACAGTTCTACCTCCTGAACAAATCTCACTCTCACACCATAATTTTTTCAAAGTTGGATTGACTTCCATATAACACAGGCTCCTTTCTCTGTGGGAGAAAAAAAAAAAAAAAAAAAACTTTAGGAATGTGGCACTTCCTCTATCTTTTTTTGCCAGCATAGTCTGCCTGTTTACTAAGAAATAGGATTGCAGAATTTCACTATTACAAGAATGAATGTTTAAAAGAGGTCAAATTATTAAAATGGGCAAGCAATCAACCCAAATCAAACCTGAAATAGGAAAGATGATAGTCATTGCAATCCAACCATTCTCTTCGGTCTCCATAATGACTCAGTTTGGGAGAAACTCTGACATCTCTAACTCTGATAGTAATGCAATCTGCAGGGAAGAGTATGGAACTGTATGACATCATTTTAGCCCATAATTGTCCCATATTGTGCCATAAAATAAGTAATTTGAAGGATAGGGTGAGCTGTACCGCCACGACTCATTCCTAAGATTTTAAAACTATCTTCAGAATCTTACCTAGGACTAAGCATCTTTTCACTGGGTCAACCATGAAATTTTAATTCATGTTGCCAGCATAATATACATATACTTAACAAAACAACATATCATTCTCTGGCATCAAGAAAAATACAGTCAATCATCTACTTCATAAGCATTTATTGAATATATACTGCCTAAAAAGCTCTGAACCATATTACAGCTGTGTAAATAAATATAATACTTGATATTAAGGTATGATCTAACAAGTGAAACGCTTGAGCAAGTAATTGAAATGCAATATGTCAAACACTGTAACAGAGGCCTTGCGCAGTACAGGAAACAGAAGAATTTTTTCTAGTTGAGGTCATTAGAAAATTGGTGATTGATAGACAGGTAGATCTTTAAAAAGATTAAGTAGAAAATTTCCAGATGAAAACAAAGGGAAAAATATTCCAGACACAGGAACTAACAAGAACAAGGCTTAAGTAAGGCTTAATGTAAGTTCAGTCCAGACAGTAAAGATTAGGCTAAGGAGATAGCACAATAATCTGTAAAAAATGAGGATCGATAGATAATTTTAAAACTCTTAGCCTGGGGAAGTTGAGCTACAAGAGGAAAATCCTGACTATGACAACCAGTTAAAACTTGTTTCTAAATCCATAGAAAGATTCTATGAAAGCCTGAATTAGATCAGTGCCATTGTGAATGGGAAGGAAGGTCAAACATAGAGATATTTCAAGAAGTTATGAATATTAGTGATATTTTAGAGTTAAGTATCTTTGTATCATCTAAGTAATATTTATTCAAGGTCTATTATTTCTGGTAAGTATGAATATAATCTAATTTCATTATATTTGAAAAATATTAGGTAGAAAACCAAAGTACTCTCACTATTTTAGATCATATTATTGGAAAGTTAGCTAGAGTACTCCAAAGAAAAATCTTACTTTAAACTATTCATAGACAAATGCTGAGTTAACTTCAGCCTCAGCAAAGTAACTACAAGCTCTGTGAGTTACTCACAGGCTTCCTAGGTGATTAATTTTGCAAGTAGGATTTTTGTTTCTTTTACAAGTTCGTTTGAATGTATTTTCTAAATTTAACTTGGTTTTCTTCTTTATAAATCAAGTTACTACCCATGAGAAATGATGCTTTGTCAAGAAAAAATCTATTCATGATCTTCAAGGAGGGTAATACATAGTCTCCAGGCACCCAATTGAACAGTTTCTGGTGTGACAGCCACCTAATTGGTCTCCCTGTCACAGGTTTCTCTTGTCTGTGATCTATCAGGCATCATGCTGCCAGTTTAATCTGCCCCAGCATAGCTGATAATGCCATTTCTTTGCATAAAATCCTTCTACGGCTCACAACTACCTGAAGAAAAGCATCTAAATGCTATAGTATTGCAATTCAGGCTCTCAAGCAGACAGCTAGAATAACCTAATCAGTCTTACTACTCTCAGTTCCCCACCTACTAATCCTAAATATTCACAATTTATAAAACCTTTCCCACTTTCTCCTAAGAAAGGTGATGCGATGTCAGCCACATGTTTACTAATCCCCACTATAGCACATTTTACTGTGTGTCTTTGATGAAGACATTTAACCTCTCTGAGGCTTACTTTCCTCTTCTGCAAATTACAAGTAATACCTACCTACCACTTTAAATCTTATTTAAAATGAAGTGAGGAATCAATCAATAAAATGTCTACCATCTTGGGTTGCTATAGAGATTAAGAGATAATATATTACAAGTGTTTGGGCAGATCACCTGAGGTTCAAGACCAGCCTAACCAACATGGTAAAACCCCGTCTCTACTGAAAATACAAAATTAGCTGGGCGTGGTGGTGCATGCCCGTAATCTCAGTTACTTGGGAGGCTGAGGCGGGAGAATTGCTTGAACCCAGAGGCAGAGGTTGCGGTGAGCCGAGATCATGCCATTGCATTCCAGCCTGGGCAACAAAAGCGAAACTCTGTCCCACCGCCCCCCCCCAAAAAAATAAAATGGAGCCTAGCCTGGATTTTATTTATAAGTATCAGGTTTTATTACTCTTCTAAGCCTTTGCTCACATAGTTTTCTCCACGTGCAAGACCTTCAACCCAGGTCTTGTACATTACACAAAGCCCGTTTCTAAACCTACCTAGCTATGAAACCATCTCTAGTATTCCAGTAAAAATCATCCTTTTTCAACTATAGTGTAATGGAAAAATTCTTGTCTTGAAATCAAATTCCTGATTCTATCCATTTTCTAACAATACGACCCTGGACAAATTGCTTATCTGCAGCTTCCCCGCTTCTAATGTGGATAGCAACAGCAACTCTACCTGCCTCACTAAGCCATTATGAGAATCAAGTTAGATAAGTTATATTTTTAACTATAAAATGCCCTATATATGTGAGAGACTGTTATTTCCACTATAGTATAAGATCAAATAAAAAACTTTGGTTTTCCTCATCTTTCTAACTGATATCCAAAATATATGTTATGAAAGAACACCAAGTTCAATAAAGAAGAAAATAGTTAATATCCAGGTCAAGAACTAGAATATTGGAATCGAGAAGGGATCGAGTAAAAAGGATAGGTTAAAGATAGCTAGGCAGAGCTGAAGTTATGAAGAAAAAACATGTTCCTGAGTTTCACTTTACATAGCAACCAATGTGTACAAAGGTAGGTGGCAGCTTAAAGAAGCTACACAAAGATGAATATACATAGCAGATGCTCAATCAGTGTAAGGAAAGGGGAGGGAAGGAGAGAGGAAGAAGAGAGGAAAGGAAAAGAGGAGAGAGAAAGGAAACAGAAGGGAAAACAGTTTTATCATTCCTTTCAAGGGCTAATTTCTATGCTGCTTGCCAGGTTGCTATAACAAAAAGATAACTAGTAGCTAAAGCTTATGTGTGAGAACATTCACTTCTCCTTTAAGGTTCCCTTTCCTTGACTGTGCCTTTTCTCTCTACTCTTCCCCTCTTCCAACTCCTATTTATCAATGTTTACTTTCCTCCCACCATTACCCAGGACCTCCAAATACCAACACAAATCCATACGAAGTAATTACTCTTTTCTACCCACTCTCTCAGAAAAACAAACCAAAACAAAAAATAAACAAGCAAACAGCAACAACAAAAAATTGTTTTTATTTGAATGTCAAGAGCCTCATAGGCTTGTTCAAGAGCATATTGAGAGCAATATTGTGTTACCCTACAATAGCATGTACAGTTTAACAGGGACTGCCTTAACTCCCTTTGTCTTCTGAAGCTTCACCAAAATATCCATGGAAGGAATTTTAAGTAACAATAATAGGTTTAAATGAGAAGATATTTATGCATTGTATAGTAATGATGGTGAGATTTTCTTATATTCACATAATGCTTTTTGCTTTGCAAAATGCTTTCTCATTGGTTATTTGATCTGAATTCCCAGGGAGAAGTGACGAAACAGGGGGAAAAGTCCTATTTCTACTATGAATTTTAATACAATGTAGTTTTATAAAATTCCTTTTTCAAAGCATATGTGTGTGTGTGTGTGTGTGTGTGTGTGTGTGTGTGTGTGTGTATCCTTTTATTTGATTTTCCTTGGCATATAGTTTTTATCTCCATTTACTGATGAAGATAGTGAGACTCAGAGATGTAATAGGACTTTCCGTAAGATCATTATGAATATAAGTGCTCTTTATGGAGCACTTACATTCCTAGGTCCAGGAATTGTACTCAGCACTTTACATGGCTGATAGCTTATTTATTCTTCACAATAACCTTATGGGGTAGACACTATTAGACACTTTGACATTTTACAGATAAAAAATCAGATAGGTTAAATAATTTGATGATGGCCATGTAACCAGCAACTCGCAAAAGCAAAATTCAAACAGAAGGCTTTCAGATTACTCTTGATTGTTCTGCTATGCCAAGCAGCCTCCTTCCTGGCCCAGTGCTGTTACTGTAACACTGTTAGTAATATAAACTTACTTTCTTTCTGTCTTCAAGTTAGAACTGCAGATTTCAGCCCAGCAGTTCAAGTTCTATGGAGAAAATACACACACATATACTTAAAGCAGAAGTGAGGAGGATGCTGTGTCCATTTTTTTTCCACCAAAAAAACCCAGAAATTAAGCAGAAAACTCACCATAATTGGGAGCTAAAAATCAGTTATTACAGTGTTGGAAGACAGGAGAAGGGTGATATGCACCTCAGTATAGAATATTGTAGAATAGAGAGATGAATTACTTATAGTTCAGCAAAACACCTAAGAAACAAACAAAAAAATCAAACCTCGGAATAGATGCTTCTTTTAAAATGTTTTTAAACAGGCCATTTATTTTATATTCCTAAATAAAGATTTCCATCTTGTTTCAAAACATCACCAATCCAACACAGAATAGCCATATTATGACTCTGTTCCTGTCATCTTATGATATCAACAATATATTACAGGTTAAAATGCTATGGGATGTGAAGGATCAGGGTGCTGATTTACATTTTCCAGAAACTTCATATAAATCAGAGTTTAAGTTGAACAGCTAGAATTCTATCACACATATGCTGAGGAAGTAAGAAGACAGATCTCTTTCCACCAGGCACTGGAGATGAAATTTCAAAAAATAGTAGGTGAAACTTGTATTTAAGATCTTCCCAAGCTGAATGCAAACAAGTTGATGTCACTTTCTTTCCAGACAAGAAAAGTCTAAAACTTTTACCTCCAGGTCTTTTAAACTTACATGCTATTAAAATCACATCAAAGTTTTGCTTCAGAAGCCTATCTGATTTTGTTTCAAGGGGAAAAGCAATCATTGAGAGGCACACTTTAGGGACTCCATGAGATTCAAAACAAGGATCCCATTTTTCTTGCTAGCAACCTTAATACACACTAAATATGTAGCTGTAATAATGAAGCCTGTGGAAACAAATTAGTAAGTTCAACAGATCCAGGAAAAAGTAAAATATTTCTAATTTCTAAAAACAGGATATTCTGTATGCCTTTTGGGAAGCTCGGATCAACTCATTTACATGCTCAAAACTTTCCAATGGTTTCTATTTCTCTCATAGTAAAATCTTTCCAATAGCCTCTAAGGCTATCCCTTATCTGTCCTCCTCTTTGATCTCACTGCAGTTACAACGGCTTTTATAAAAAAGACAGGGTAATAATGGATGCTGGTAAGGATGTGGAGAATGGGGAACCCTTGTACACTGTTGGCAGAAATGCAAATTAGTACAACCACATTAGAGAATGGTATGGAGGTTCCTCAAAAAACTAAACTTAGAACTTCCGTATGATTCAGCAATTCCACTGCTGGGTATATATCTAAAATACAGAAATTCAGTATATTGAAGAAGTATCTGTACTCCATTGTTTATTGCAGCACCATTCACAATAGCCAAGATATAGAATCAACCAAAGTGTCCATCAACAGATGAATGGATAAAGAAAATGTGGCACATACACACAATAGGAATTTACTCAACCAAAAATAAAATCCTGTCATTTGCAACAACATGGTTGGAATTGGAGGACATTATGTTAAGTGATATAAGCCAGGCACAGAAAGACAAATATCACTTATATGTGGAAGCTAAACAAATAAAATGTACACATGCAGATGGAAAGTTGAATGATGGGTACAAGAGTCTGCGAAGGTAGTGGTGGAGGGGAGAATAAAGAAGAGATGGATAATGGGCACAAAAGTACAGTTAGATAGACAGAAACAGATCTAGTGCTCAGTAGCACAATAGGGCAGCTATAATTAATAATGTATTGTATATTTCAAAATAATTTAAAAAGTGGAATTAGAATGTTCCTAACACAAAGAAATGATAAATGCTTGAGGTAACAAACAACCCAATTACCCTGATTTAACCATCACACATTATACGTTTGTATCAAAACATCGCATGCACCCCATAAATATGTATAACTATTATGTATCCATAATAATTTAAAATAAAAAATTAAAGAAAAAACCCAAAAAATGCGCAAGTTGCTAACATCAGTTACCTTGCATGCAGGGAAGATAGAGCTGATACAGTATAAGCAGGAAGTCAGTGAAAGGGGATTCCACAAAAATAGAAAAATTGTTTTAAAAACAACTGTATTTAGAATAAAAAGTATATATTTATCATTTATGCTTCTGTGCAATATATATGGGACCATGCATCTAGAAGTTGAATAAAATAATGTTTTTGAAAATGTATGGTCTTTCATAATGACATATGCACCCCCGTATGTTCATTGCAGCACTATTCACAATAGCAAAGACATGGAATCAACCTGAATGTCTGTCAGTGGTAGCCTGGATTAAGAAAATGTGGTACATATACATCATGGAATACTACACCGCCATAAAAAAAGAATGAGATCACGCCCTTTGCAGGAACATAGATGAAGCTGGAGGTCATAATCCTTAGCAAACTAACACAGGAACAAAAAAACAAATACTGCATGTTCTGACTTATAAGTGGGAGCAAAATGATGAGAATACATGGTCACAAACAGGAGAACAACAGACACTGGCACCCACTAGAGGGTGGAGGGTGGGAAGAGGGAGAGGATCAGAAAAAATAACTATTGGGTACTTAGCACCTGGGTGATGAAATAATCTTACAACAAACCCCGGTGACATGAGTTTACCTATATAACAAACATGTACATGTACCCCTGAATTTAAAATAAAAGTTAAAAATCAATTAATTAATTACTTTTTTAAAAAAAGAAAATTGAAAATACCAAGGCAATGAAAGCCTAGAAAAAAATACAGGGAAATAGTTAACTAGTCCTAGAATGAAGAAAGATAAAGCAAAGAAGAAATAATGTTTTTAAAAGTGATAATTTTATCACATAAAAATTGAAACTATTTTGAAGGTTAAAAAGTACTATAAGCAAAGTTAATAATAATAAACAAACCAGAAAAAATAACAATTATGACAACAGGGTGGCATGTTTCATAAATAAACTGCTCTTGCAAATCAGTAAGAATTCTAGTACCGCTTAGAAAAATAGACAAAGAGCTTGAATGGATCATGAAAGAAATATAGATAACCAATAATCATAAAAAAAAGTTGAGTCTGAATAGTGAACACATAATTGCAATATAAAGCATTAAGTAAGACATTTTATCTATTAATTTGACAACATATTTTAAATAATAAAATGACAGTACTAAAGATATAGGCAGATTGGCCTTTTGAAAGATGGCTGATTTGTTCTTCAAAACAGCTTGATAATTTGTATCCAGAACCTTAAAAATGTCCATACCCTTGTATTCAATAGTTTCATTTATAAAATCAATCTTAATGAAACAGTTAGAAAAAAAAAAAAAAAAAACAGCATTGGCTTATACACATGCACATCCATTACAGCATTATTCAAAGCAGGAAATTGAAGATAGCCTAAATTTGAATGAAGATCTGCTTAACTAAGTTCCAAATCATGGAATATTCATAGCCATTAAAATATTCTCCAAAACTGTTCAATGTTATGATATGGATAAATACTGTTAGTGTAACATTCAATGTAAAAGACATAAAATGCCCTACATGCTATTGTCCCAATTTCATGTACATATATTTGTACGAAAAAAGGACTAAAAAAGTCAAAATAATTACTCTTAGGTGCTAAAATTAGGATGATGTTTATTTTTATGCTTTTAAGTACAATTTCACAAAGTTGATATCTATTATTTAACAAATTATTGTCATGATTAACTTTTTTTTTTTTAAGTAACTAGGGTGATAATTAGGCTCTGTCCTTCCCAGTTTATACATCAGCTCTGAGCAGGACAGAAAGTATATGAGAGGCCTCAATATTAACAATACAAACTCAGCAATCAACATGCTATTGATTGGCACTAGGATTCTATGTAGCTTCCAAATCATGGGGTTGGCTACATGACTCCAATCTTGACAAATCGTGTGTGTGGATATGTACTATTACCTCCCTTCAAAGTATTGACTGCCACTTAAAAATATCCATTGACTTGTCCCTGTTAGCCCTTAGCTATGAACCTGAGAAATGCCTCAACTTGCCTTAGCCTTTGGTAAATGTTGATTGTAACAGTAGTGTCCAAACTGTTTGATTCCATAATTCTATCTGTAAAAACAAGTTGATCATACAACTCTAATTGCTTTATATTTATTTTTTAAATGCATTACTACTAAAATATAAGTTACTCAAATACAGAAAATTTTAAAGAATGTGATTAAAAGAAATGGAAATGGGAATTCTAATATTCTGTTCCTACACCTCAACTGATCATTTTATTCTTGCCCCGGGATATGTGCCCTTGCTATGGAAATCAGAATCGTAGACTGCACTTCCCTATTCTACTATCCATCTCCTTCCCCCACAGCACAAGGAACCATGTTCTGAAACTCCAGAATGCCTTAGACTTGAGTCAACTCTAACTATGACAATATTGCTAACATAACCCACTCAAACAATATAAAGAATCAGGTCACTCCCATGCCCTATTTTACGCTTTGGAAAAACTGAATTTTCATATATGAAAATTGTATACAGTATGGTATAACTACATTTCTATTATTGTTGTTGTCATTTGTTGATAATAATCACTATTACTACCATTACTTCTTTACTGGACTAAGTCCTAGTATTATTCAGTTCTTTTGGAAGTTTCAACAGTATACCTCTGAAGATTTTTGAAGTCTGTCATGGCACGGAGCAAGAAGGGATGTCTTCTCCCATTTCTGTAAAACTTGATTGGCTTCTTCTATCTTCTGCTCACAACTTTTTTGAGAATTTAGCAATGTCACCTCGTAAAATTCTTGGATATCTGTAAAGAAAATGTAAAGAAAGCATCAAAATGTCATGCATGACTTCATAAATAGCTTCTGTATATATGTCCATATATTGGCATACACAAATTTTGCTGATTAAAAGAACTGCATAAATATATCCCAAAGTAAAACAGAAGAAATCCTGAAAAATATCTTTTTACCTGCATTTAGAATGCTTATAGCAGCTTTATTCAGAATTACAAAAACTAGAACAAATCCTTCAAAAAGTGAATAAACTGTAGTAAATCCATATAATAGAATGTTATTCAGTAATAAGGAATGAGCTATGAAGCCAAACAAAAACATAGATGAATTTTAAATGCATATTGCTAAGTGAAAGAAGTCAGTCTGGAAAGGATACATGCTGTATGATTCCACCTATAGCCTCTGGAAAAAGTAAAACTGAAGAGACAGTTTAAAAAAACCAATGTTTGCCAGAGGTTCTGAGCAAGAGAAGGAGGTTTGAATACATAAAGCAGAGGATGATTAAAATATTCTCTAATGATACTATAGTGTTGGACACATAACATGAACCATGTGTCAAAACCCAAAGAACTCAATAGCACGAAAAGTAAACCTTAATGTAGGCAAATTTTTAAAAAACCATGTAGGAAGTCAGAGGATCCCAAGATGAAATGCAGACTGTTACAAAGGAATGTAACTGTGTTACAAAGGTATAAAATAACCTCCATGAAGTCAATAGGAAAAAAAAGTACTAACTTAAGTAACTTTGAAAATGAACAGACTATAAAACCAAAATCAAAGAAACTACACAAAAGCATCATACTCTAGTTGGTAAACTTGTGTCCTGTTGGGTACGGATGAACAATTCTGAAAACACAATACATGTATACTAAAATTGAACAATTAAGCGAATGGATGGTAGATGATGGGAGCCAAGTTTCTTACTGTTTTATAGAAAGTTACAGGCAAGTAAGGTTAAAATGATTCATATGATATTAGATGAGAGTTGGAGACATGTTTAGCTTAATGTAGATATAGATGAATACATATAAGAATATTTACAGACATGTATATACACAAATCAGTTATACACACATATATTTCCTTGCTTCATCTGCTGAGAGGGCCTAGAAGCAATGATGCCACAGTAATAATAAACAAAACTAGCACCCTGATTTTGGCCTCGGTGCAGCATTGGTAAAAAGTAATGAACACTGTCATATTAGATTAACATTGAGGGTGTCTATATGCACTCAAAGTTTTCAAGAGCTACAGGATAGAGAGATAGATAAAAATACATTTAGAAATAGAAATGAATATGTATCCTGACATTTCCCAGCTCTGTCATATATAATGCCTTGCTCTGTCTCCTGAGAGGACCTAGAAGCAGGGACATCCCAGTAGCGACAAGCACACTCAGAGTTTAGATCTTGGTTTGCAACACTATTTTCCAACAAAAGAAACCAGAGTTCTTTGGAGAAATGGTTGATCCTAGGACTCCTAGGTAGGAGACATAAGATGAGTATGGACCATCTTATAGCCCCAGCAAATAAAGAAACAGTCACCAAAGAAACAAGTCTGCTACAATGGGGAAATATCGAAGAAACAAAAGAACCACATGAAAGAGCTGCCAAAGATGGCCAAAGCTGGAGTGATTTGAGCAAAATAAAAAATTACCTAGTATTGGATTATAGTGCCAAATATAAAATAAAGGGATGAGTAGGAGGGATTACAAAAGGGTAAGAGGAAACTTGTAAGAGTGATGTGTATGCTACTATCTTTATTGTGCTTATAGTGCATATATATGTCCAAACCTATTAAATTATGCAGTTTATATAGATGCAGTTTATTATGTATCAGTTATGCTTAAGATGTATATATGTATCAATAAAGAAAGCCAAAAGACAAGGTACAAATTGAAAGAAGATAATTTTGCAGCACACAGACAAAGGAACAGTATCCAGATATGAAAAGAAATACAAATCGAGAAGAAAAAGACAAGCAAACTAAAAGAAAATAATTGGTAAAAATTATGATCAGGCATTTCACAGTAAAATAAACACATGTCACAGACAAGCCTAGGAAAGAATCCTCGACCTCATTGGTGATAATAAATACAAACTGAGATCATAATCAAATGCCATTTACATCAAAAATATTGTCAAAAATAATTAAGTCTCACAGTACAAGGACTAGAAAAAGACATTAATTCATGGTAACTTATTTATTCCTAGCAAGTGCAAATTGCTATAGCCACTTCAGAAAATAATTTAACATTTGTTTATCCTATAAGTCAGTATTTCTACTACCCAGTACACATCCTAGATAAACTTTGGCACATATGCACCAAAAACAAACCAAAATGTTCATAGCAGCATAGATTATATTAGCAAACATCAGAAACATTCCAATGTCCATCAAAAGTGAAATAGATAAATTGTGATATGTTCTCAAGATGGAATTTATGGAGCAGTGAAAATGAATGAATGATAATATCACAAAACTATATATCTTAGAAAAATAATGTTGAGTGAATAAAGTTTCAATATGAAAAAATTTTTGTAAAGTTGAAAAATCTACAAAACTGAACCATATATTTTTAAGCATCCATGCATATACATATAACAAAACAAATAGACAAAAGCAAGGGAAGACATGAAAAGATGTAGTTACTTCAGTAGACAGGGTGGGCAAGGAAGTGGGATAAGGAAAGTACATATGAGTAGTTGCAAGTTAATGGCAATGATCTATTTCTAGATGTCAGTAGCAATTTCAGAAATGTTTCTTTTGTTATTATGCTGTGTATATTATAGATAAATTGCATATATTGTTTTGTATGAATTAAATGTTACATTTTCATAAATAATAAAGAAAAATTTTATGTTTCATAAATATTAAGATTTACAGAGAAAAGTTAGTAATCCTTAAATTTTATGTACAGCTACAGCTTTATTCTGCCACTAGCAATAAAATAACTGTGAGGTCGTGTCTGAAAAATGTGTAAGAACAGAAGGTAAAAGCTATACAGATATACATCCTTCCCAGATTTTTAAAATAACATACAGGCTGGTAGATTACTAATTCGGTTGACAAAAATCAGAGGAATAAGTAATATAAAAATATAAAATCCAGAAAACAAAATATGTTTACATCATCTTGCCTCATGTATTAATGAAGAGAAAAGAATTAGCTGGGCATGGTGGTGTGTGCCTGTGGTCCCAGCTACTCAGGAGGTTGAGGCAGGACAATTGCTTGAACCCAGGAGGTCACGGCTGCAGTGAATTGTGTTCATGCCACTGCACTCCAGTCCTGCTAACAGAACAAGTCTCTCTTTCAAAAAAATAAAAACTAAAAATAAAGGGAAAAGAAAAAAAAAGAATTTCTGTAAACATTTCTGCAGCTACAGTCTCTTAAAAGAATGACTTGTAATGAATAAAACAATTTTTGTAGATAGTCAAATTTCAAGATTCTTTTTCTCTGCATCTTTTTAAAGGATATAAACAGTTTCATGAGCAGTACTTGTAAGTCACCAAAATTTGAAACACTACGTGTACAAATTAGTCAGAAAAGAAAGGATATTTATCATACTCGTGCTATGCATTTATATCAATAAGCTGTACTTTGAAACATAACAAACAGTGATTTGATCACATTTAGAAAAACCCTGGGGACAATATTTTTAATATTAAACTTGTAAATCTTCATTAATTTATACCCCTAAATGTGACGAAGTGTTCAAAGTCTATTTCACTGTTTTGTCTGCTTATTCTCCATGCCTGAAGCAACTACTAGAGAGGAAGAAAATAACCATGATTAAGTTAAAGATGACTTAAATTTGATGATAATTCAATGATCAATGCCAAATTTCACTTTTGGTTAACAAGCATTATTTTTTAATAATTGACATATATCCCCTTGTCACTTTCCAAGCATCTCTCTTTTATACCCTCTTTCCTCACCATCACCACCACCATTCCCACTGCCAGAGTTCAGGCCCTCAACATCTCTTGCTCACACTCTTCTCTAGGCCCAGATCCCATTTCCCACACTTAGAAATCCTCCTTCTCCTTCAATGCCCAGTTCCAGTTCAGTCTTTGTAAAAAAAATATTTGAAGTCAGAGATCTAAATATGAAATGTCATCATCAAGAAATTATTTTTACTAAAACTGGGTTCAATTGAGTAGGTAGTAAGAACACCCAAGCAACTGTCATCAAAAAGAAAATACGTTTGGAAATTTGTGGGGGATTCTCTTCTTACAGCTTCAACAAAGAGATGGTAAAATGTGTTAAGATATATGTCTATGCTTCTTCCAACATGCCTTGTTCCCTTACCACATACCTGCTTTGAATTCATCTAGACAGTATAGCACAGTTGATCTTGCTATACTTAATGATGTTGCAAATTACATTAGGCTTTTCTGAACACTTGGTTCTGCTTAGGGAGCTAGATAAATGCTCATAACCACTTTCCTTATTCTGTATCCAAATCCCATACTTTCTCTTCTGCAAAGTAAAATACTGCTGCTTTCTTCCTGTTCTAACAACATATTGCTTGAATCTGCTCAATAGTTATTTCTCTTTCTGCTTTATAGTAGAAATAGTTGTTCACCCACCTGTCTTCAACATTTCAATTCACTAAGTAATTTTTAAGTGCTAAGCAAGGCCCTCAGGAATAAAGACAACGTCCTATCCAGTCATATATTCTCTAGTATCTAACATTATCCTTAAATTCAGTAAGCACATAATGAATTCTTGGTAATTTTCATTTGCTTGTATTCCGTCTTTTTAAGGTTCAAACAGAAAAAAAAATCATTAAATGAAGTCAAATCCCTTCTCACTCAGGACTGCTAAACCCTGCATATTGTTTAGATTACATTTTTATGTGACTTGACTCCTTGATTTAATCACAGCACCTAGCACTTTTTATTTTGCACATTCCCTACTCAAATATAAAAATATTTGCCACCTCTGAGGATATACAAAATAAATTCCTCAAATTCTTGAAGACATGTCTATTTTGACGTCAAAATTT